AATAATAACTGGTTAGAGTTTAAAATTGCAAAATAATAGATTTTATGAAAAATTCAAAAGTTTATTAAGGTCCATATCTTCATATATCTATTATATAAATGAAATCTCAAATGTCAACCGTTAATTCAATTTACCTTAGAAGCAGAGGCAGACAATGAATTTCATTTTCTTGATGGTTTCTTACAGAGATCTATATATAGAAAACCTACCTGGAATGGACAATACACGAATTTCCATAGTTGGATCCCACTGAGTAGAAAGAGGAAGTTAATTCACTCTTTATCTTCTAGGATCAAACGAATTTGTACCAATGACACAATAGATGAGGAACTATCTCAACTTCGACAAACTCTCATTGGAAACGGTTATCCACCTAGATTCTTCGATAGCAACTTAACACCTAAACTTCATCATGAAAAAGCATCGACAGTACCGAAAAAAACCTTGTTTATGAATATGTAATTTAGAGAAGACACGGCTGCTGAAATCTTAAATAGATGAATTTCAAAATCGTTGAATAAAACGTTCCACGCAACCAAGCTCCGAATTGTTTTCTCTAGCCGGCCGAACCATTCTAGAATGTGTTAAAGATAAACTTCCGCTTTGGGCCACATCAATGTGTGTTTATAAATTTACTTGCTCATGTGGAGCACGTTACATAGGCTGCACAAATCGATCACTGTCCAAACGCATCTCAGAACACTATCCAGCTTGGCTTTTAAAAGAATGTAAAACAATTACTAGTTCTATACAGGAGCATTTAATTAATTAAGGACACATCACTCAGAAAGATTCTTCTTTTAAAGTAATCTCCAGAGTCAAAAGAACTGAATCAAAGGGGTGTAAAATCAATATTTTATGCACTGCTGAGGCATTGACAATCTACGAACTCAAGCCTGAACTTTGCGTGCAGTAACGACTCATCCTTCATTGGCCTTAATTCCCTTAATGGGTATGTTTCTGGGGTTTTCGCATGTTTTTCTGTACTTTTATTTGATGATTGAATTTTTCATAAAATGTATTATTTTACAATTTTAAATTCTAATCAGTTCTTATTATTATTACCTTATACAAGTTTTCTTGATTATTATTCAGTTCTTATTATTATGACCTTTGTTTGTCGTTTTTCTTCATATCTGTCATTTGGACTATTAGCTGACTATTATCTTCTCACTTACATATACACACAATCTGTTATCTTAACACTTTTCGTTTCACAACACATCTCTTACACAATAATGCAAATACCTACCTTAAATATTGTTAACGTTGATTGGATAACCTACTCAGTATGCAGTGAACCTGAGAAACATGTACCTATTTATATCCGATAATTTTGATGTTTGATTATATTTCCTTGAAACAGCTTGGCCCAGATTGCCAGGCGAAACGTTGGATTTACTTCAAATTCTTTCGCTGAGATTTTACAAATACATACTTCGTCTTTAGTTGATCTAGAATTCACAGACATATACTTGTATCCAACAATTATACTAATTAAGACATCAGTAACCAATATCATATCTAGCAATTACTACAGATCAAGTTTGATTAAAAAACATTACAGTTCATAATAACGCTAGGAGCTTAGGAACAACTGTTAGGGTCGTAGATGTCAACCATGGAGAATCTCACTACTAGGACAAAACGTTTCCCTATGGCTTACAACAGCCGTTTAACTAAGTTTACATAAACTAGCACTAAGTATGTATCAAACGATAACACATTTAACTAGAAACTTGATTGACCTTAATTAGACGAATATTGTACGAAAATGTTAGTATCTGTTGCGTAACCAGCCTAATGTATTGTGAATAAATGATATGTAAAAAGTACAAAATATCTCAACAACCAATCTATATTCCTGTATAAAATATAACTTTCGAACTCTGGAAACAACATTACAACAAGATTAATACAAAGCAAAATGACTAAATACAAATGGGAATGCATTGAAGTAATCTGAATAGAACATAAATATGCATGAACAAAAATGATATTTTCCAATCAATCAATTCTAAACAATTATTTAGTCATAATGGGGAGGGGTTACAAGATAAGAATTTAGATTTATTTTTAAAATAAGTTCGCAAGTTAGAGTTTGTAAATTTTGAAAACACAAATATTTGATGTGTGCGCTATAATCGATTGAGATTGTGTGACGAATAATCAGAATAAATATATAGGTGGGTAGGTGTGTGTGTGAGAAAAAAATAGTTCCTTTGGTAAATTCCAATAATGCAATGAGTAGACGAAGGGTATCAAGATTGTGCGTTATGTTTGTGCAATACATTTTGAGCAGTTTGGTCACACATATACTTATTAAGACATTTCTATATGAAAACTAAAAGGTCAACTAAATAGATTACAGGTAAGCCGTAACAAAGAAAAATAAAGTACACAAAACAATATGATAACCACTCTGGATAATAAATCAGTATTACCAGGGTAGGTTAAGTTTAAGGATAGATTGTTTTTGAACGCATAAAGGGGGTTTCAGTGTCCGTATAGCCAAGTTCTCAATAAACCTTAGTATACGCCCGGTACTGGATCATGTGTTTATAGGATATATCGAAGATCTAGCTAAAGACTCAATTCAAAAGCTGAGTCTGTATAAACGGTACGTTGATGACATCATAATCATAGGGGATAAACGTAAAAATGTGAACCGCTTGTTAGAACTTAACACAAGCCAAAAGCATATTTCTCTTACATGCGCGAAGGAAAGAAGAATAACCAGCTTCCTTTTCTAGAAGATGGTGGTTCCATCAAACGTATTGTATGTAGAAAGCCGACATGGACAGGGTAATATCATAATTTGCATAGTTATTGCCCAATTCATTACAAATGTGAATTAATAAAGGGCTTATTCGATAGAATCAATCATGAATAATCGTTATTCACTTAAGCTTATAAACCACTGGAACGGTTACAACACGGTTAGACCTATGACGCTTCTGGCACCTAAAAAGCGAGTTTACATCATGTTATCATTTAGAGACGGCTCAAATAGTCTCATGTAGAAACGGAGGCTTAGCCATCAACAGGACATTTTAAGCAGCCCAACTCGTCATTATTGAAAAGACAAGGTTTATGTTTCACCAAAAATCCAAACAGTAACGTAAGTGATTGTGTCTACTAATTTACGTAGATAGGGAGGAGCGATCGTCGTCTGAAAGTAAGGGTGGCGGAACACATAATCAAATGGCTGCATAGACAAATGATTTCCGATAATCAAATAAGATCACAGGATAGACAGAAATCTTCCTCCATTGCCAAACATTTGGTTGAGATTGGTCGTAAGGTTGATATCAAGTCAGCATTTCTATTGTTATACAAAAGCCTTCAAGCGCGCGTACTAAAGTTTATTGAAACCTTGGCTATATGGAAACTGAAGCCCTATTTGTGTTCAAAAACAATTTGTTCATACACTTAACCTACCCTGGTAATACTGATTTATTATCCAGAGAGGTTATCACATTGTTTTGTGTATTTTACTTTTCTTTATAAGCAAAGACGGATAGTGTCTATCAGTGGAATCCAGGACGCGTGTTTCGTCCCATTCGGGACTCGTCAGCTGGATGTAACTGCATCTGAGAGTTAATGTTCACTCTGGGACTAGAACCCAGTACCGTTCGCTTCAAACGCCATCGCGTTATCCACTTACCCACTAGGTTTACAGTATGCACATATGCCAATGAGAGACTGATCAAATGTAGTCCTAAACATCAATGAGAAGATCCAAGTAGATAATACCAAGTGAATTTACTTTACTTTGTTACGGCTTACCTGTAATCTATTTAGTTGACCTTTTAGTTTTCATATAGAAATGTCTTAATAAGTATATGTGTGACCAAACTGCTCAAAATGTATTGCGCAAACATAACGCACAATCTTGATACCCTTCGTCTACTTATTGCATTATCGAAATAATAATATAAGTACTACTTTGTTAATAATTATAATTTCATATCCTGTATTTTCAAAAAATAATTAACTATTTATTTTGATAATGAATCAAGATTTGAAACTGCGAATTCTCATTAGCTAGGATGTAATAATACGTTGTTGAATAAGCTTCACTTTACTAATAAACATAGGTTCTGTATACGTGAGTAGTCCTAACAAGTCCTATCAACTATAACATGTCACTCCCTTTTTCACTACTTTCATTTGATATACTCTTTGGTTTACATGAGTCACTAAAAACGTTTTAACTCCACTTTCTATTGCATTTCATCCATCCGACGACTAGTTACTCTCTATATTTTACGAGTGACCAAGACGGTCATATGATCATTTGGTCATGGATATTCAGTAGTTTAGGGTCTGATCGTGGGGGTCCCTCACCCTAAATGCTCAATTCTATCTGTTAGCCCTTTTCATAATCTCTGGTTTGAGGAAATGTTCTAACAAACGCCTTAATTGAAGTACGATTCTTAGTAACATTTTGAACGTATTAGTAACATACAAAGGTTCCTGGTTTTGCATTTAAACTGGATAAGTATCGATTTACTATATCTCCGTCTTGAATCACATCATCATTAATGATTGTTTAGATAGTGTGAAATCTTAGTGAAAGTCTGCAGTTCAATCAGAATTTACAACATAGTTTACTAATGAATAAAAGTCTACATACTATTCCAAGACATACGCTGAGGGAACATGTACGTGTATTTATAACCTAGGAAACGAACACACATATTGCGAAGAAAGATCCCCTTAACTAAGTGTAAACACTAGTATTGTAATAAACGCTACTCATAAAAATGTTTGTAAATAGTGTGTAGCGGAACGTGACATGGAAGTTGCAGCAATTACCGGACATAATGAGGAGTTTCAGTGCATCAAAGCACGGAGTTGGCAGAACACTTGATGGCCGGTCTCGAAGACAGTTCAGATTGCAGAACTTCTCTGCCTATTGTCATGTTTTATAGTATGACTAACACAAAAGTAACTGATAATAAGATCAAACAGTACTCTATAAAACAGTGACTAACCTTGTCAGCTGTCGATGAAGTTGAACTTGTACTGTCTTGAGATCCCTGAGATGAAATACAATCATTTCCTTTTCTAGATAACTCTTTAACGGTACTGTAATGACAATAATGAAAATACATTCAAAAGAATTACTTTATTATTTAACATGTCTTTTTTGCATATCAATATATAAAACAATTAACTATTAAAGATTAACAATAATTATTTGCATATCTTGATTTGGTGTAGATTTATAGTTCAGGTGGATGATTTCGATGGAATTTTGTTCTCTCAGCTGGTTAGTTTAGACATAGAGCTTTTATGGTCCTTCCAATCAACAAAATCATATCAATAAGCTATCAGTTACATCGAGAGAAATTTAATTAACTCATTTCTGTTTAAAGCTTGCGTTGATGAAGTTGTCCATAAGGACAACGAAAACTTCATGAATAAATCACATATAGAAAATGTTAATGCTAAGCTAACCAAGGTAATTTGTGAATCAATCACAACATTGAAATAAATTATACAAGTGAACACAATGAGTAAAATGTACAAATCGATATCAAGTTAAGAAGACAGCGGTAATTATACGAATAATAAACATCTCCATAACATAAACAAATATTTTAGCATACGTCAACAATGGATCAGTTCCAATTATCAGCTAAGAAATCATAAACTTTTTAAATCTTCACAAACGTGTTACCAGTAAGAAGGCTTGAGTGTAAGTAATGAGATATTATATAGTATAATCATGAATCGACGGTTGCTAAAACCAAATTAAATCGATTCCGCAAGTGTTTACAACAGATTGATTTTAGTTGAATAACCATCAAAAAACAAAGAATATTTAAGAATGTTTAGTTCTAGTCTGAGACTCCTGAGAATCGGACACCTAAAACCCTACCTAGAGGTTGAATTTAAGAATTTCAGGCCTTACAGTGAGCGTACTTCCGACTTCAGACCTGAGAGTCAGTGAATAATCATTCCACGTATTGAGCGTCAGTAAACTGGTGATGTGTGCGACGACTATCAAACGTCATCGATGATATCTGACATGGTTGAACTTCACTAGTCATGACCTCCAGATAGGATTTCGAGAACACATCTCCAGATTAGTTACTAAGGTGCACATAATGATTGGTTCTAGTTGGCTGGTGAGTAAATTGGTTATCCAGATAGATGTAACAGGAACAATTTGTTTTATTTAATTGAATTTATCTAGATACAGTAATCACTTAACAAAAAAAAACGGTTTTCCTACGTTGTATTCACTTTGGTTTCGTTGATGAAACCTAAGGATTGGTACATGTGGTCCTACTACTACTACTACTACTACTACCTGTGCTATGAACAATGATTTGTCCTGGCTATTGTCAAAAACAGGAATACATGTTTGAAATGGCATAAACAGTCTGCAACTACTAATTGTTACCACTTAATAATGAATTAATGCAATCTTTTCTGATAGTATATTATCGAATACTCAACCAATCAAAACCGATTTTCAAACATCTGTATGTTATCCCCGAATGTGTCAAGAAGTCCTTTTATTGTATCAGTATCAGTCATACAGGAAAACTATATTCATTTTCTGATTACGATTATTCCTTGTTGATACAAAATCACTACTTCGTCGAGTCTGGGGATGGGAAAATGTAACCAACCATATAATTTAAGAATACGTTGAAAGTTGGATAGGTTGAAATTATTTTAGGGAAAAAAATCTTAGGTTATTGTGTTTTAGACGAAATTTTACCTGCTATCTAAGTAATTTAAAGAACGAAACTATGCTCATCCCATGATATTTAGCACATGAATGGTCTCATCGGAATTTGCTCACAAGTATGATGGTCGATAGATTCCAGAGCGTTTGGAAAACGATCTAACAAATCTAAACAGACAATAATCTGAATCAATGTACAATTGACTGGATTTTATTTGTTAGCGAGATAATTTTCATAATATGCAAGCAAATTGTCCAATTTTTCGGCCAATTTACATGTACTGACAAGTAGTTTTGAGTATGAACTTCATTAATTCGAAATTCAAATCCCAACTAATAGGAGCAACGCTGGAATTAATATTATAGCATTACGATAAGCAAAATCATGAGTAGTTCCAATTTGTTAAGTAGAAAAGTGCATGGTTTCATTCATGTCATTGGAAAAATATGATGCTGCTAACGCTGACTGTCCGTATGTAAATGTTAGCTCAATTATTTTTAACCAAGCTCCTCAGTATTTTACAGAAAATTTTTTCAGAGAATTAGCTCTCTTAATCAATTTAAATGTTAGAAAAATATGAATTCACCTTATTTTATGGTTTCTCCTAGGCTGCTTACAACAGTATTTGCATAACAAATGTCTACTATTTTATATCATACAAATACGGCTGTAAATAGAAGAAGAGCAAACACGACATAATAGGTTCAGATAAGTTCACTTGTTGTTTGCTTGTGTCTTCCCATTACTGTTTAGGACTGCAATTAATCAGTCTCTTGCTGGGATATGTGCATCCTGTGCGGATCGCCTCAATATTATGTTAAGCCGCAAGTTTTATAAGCAAAGATGGACAGTGGCTAGCAGTGGAATCCATGACATGCGCTTCGTCATATTTGGGACTCGTCAGCTGGATGTGTCTGTACCGCAGAGCCAACGTCCACTCCGAGACTCGAACCCAGTACCGTTCGCTTCAAACGCCATCGCGTTATCCACTTAGCTACTGAGTACTGATAGCCGACTGCTTGTGCAATCGGGTGAAGTTTAAGTTCACTTGGTGGTTGTTCAAATGCGGCAATCTGTAATCCATTATACACTTCTTCCACATCACATGACGACGTTATAACACCAATGAAAAACATGACCACTACTGTCAGTGTAAATTATTGTAAGCAATTTGATTAATCAACTAAAGTGCGACTGTTTCCAGAGTCTAGATTTCATGCATATGTCACACGGGTGAGAAGGTCATACAAACTATATGAGTCATGTTTTGCTTCAAGCATATACAATTTATCAATTAACCACACAATAGTTGTAGAGGCTAGGATGAGTCACCATGTGGGACCAGACATAATTAATGGACATATATCAAATTTAGTCCCTTAGCTTAGAACACAGAAGGAACTTGTGGCGTGTCTTATCATGAGTTATCATTAGTTGATGCCAATCCGTGATAAAAACCACTTTTCTAATTAAATCAATATATCTACAACTTAATCAAGTCAAAGAAACATCTCAATGACTTCAACTATGATGATGGATTTTTTAGACTGTTAGCTACAAATAGCGTTAACATCTGGATTAAACTATACATCAGCTCTAGAGTTGTCGCATCAACACACTAAGAGTAAATTAAAAAGACAGGAAATGAAAAAAGTCTAGTCATATTAGTAGTAGTAACAGTTGAAAACTAAATACAGTTCTAAAAGAACTTGATCTCAATAGGAATATGAGGAATGTCTTCATTCACTCCCTTGTGATTGATTGATTCCCAATCACTGTCAATCAACGGTATCTAATGCCAGAAAATATAGTGAACTTCAACCAAGAAACTCACATTATCCAGTATAACTCAATTGAACTAAACACAATTTGGTCTCATATACCCCTTACAAAAGTCATCTACCGTAGTAAATAATTAATTTTTGCTATATGAATTTGTTTATCTTGAACGCTGTTTTATTTTGAAAAAAAAACAGTTGTCGTTTGACAAGGCACTGGAAATAACTTAAAAACAGACTACGGGTATTAATGGGTACTACATTAATCCACTTCTTTTCAGCTTTACAAGTGAAATCAGATAATGAAATTTATATTCAGCCTTCATATTATCTAATTTCATATATCAGTAATTGGATTTTTAATAAATACTTATGAAGGTAAAAAAATTATGACTTATATAAAAAACTAACCAGTCAGTAACATAACTTTCCAAATTCCGATAAAACCTTTTAATACGTTTCAGTGCACGATTTCGAGAATGAGAACATGTCCATCTTTCAGATGCTGAAGCTGATAAATCCCTCAGTATGGTGTTTGCTGACTTTACTTCCGGATCATCAGTCTATAAAAGTATTTAAGAATGAAAATATTTCAGGGGGGGAATTATACTGAAAAACACTAACTTCTTTTAGACAAACTGTATATGATTGCTTTACACAAATGAGATAGTATTAAAAATTATGTTTGAAAAAAGACATAGAAAACCACCCACTAAAGTTTTGCTACATTGTAACTAGAAATATCAGTTTAAAAAATCTCTTCATGGTTATCTGTATTAATTAGTAAAAACAATGTCAGATAAGAAAGTGATATTTATGATTTATCAATGCAGTTAATCGAATCTCACAAGTATCCATTACTTTAATGATGTCTGACTTATGATTGTTGTCAATCACTTTTCGGACAACTTTTGCTGACGAAATATATTTATAAATCCTCCCACAAGAGTAATTTATTACAAAGACCTTGTGCGTATGTAATAGGTTTTTAATGACGCCGATGAAACGTATTTACTATTTAGTTTGTACACATTTTCTCAACAAGCCACATTGATACAATGTAAATGAAAAAAGTCAAATATGAATTGTATTTAGAATACGTAATATTTCAGACATGCTAATATTGAGCGGTAGAAAAGCGAATGAATGACGTGACAATTGTATAAAGCATTAGGAATCAGTGATACATCGACAAGGAATAACAACGTGATTTAGTTTCATATAAGAAATATAGGAAGTGGATCGACACACACATACTATCATGCACACAAATATAAAAAGTGATCAGGGTTACAGTTGAGTAATTGACAAGGGCAAACAAGGTGGCAGAAGAGATGGAAAGATTAAAACAATTTGCCCGTGTAAAAGTTAGAACAAATCATGTAGGTATGTAATAATAAGCATTGCTACATGTTAAAAATAATATCACTAGTCGTGAACGTTTTTTTCAAAGGAATTTACTAGTTTTCAGTTGCTGTGTCGATTGTGCTAGTCATGTTTCAGAAAAAAAGATAAAGTCGACAATGCTCCAACCGCAACTTTTCAACTTTAGGCTATAAGTACTGTATCTAAACACCGAGTTGCTAATACACTGAACAATATAACCAGGGAACGTGCCAAGGTAGTACAATATGTCACATACAATTAAACTAACCGTCTACACATATGCAAACAGGGACATTCTGACATCCAATAAACATACATTGAATGAAAGTACTATCTATCTAGCAAATACAATCCTCTATTTAATCTATTTTGTCCTTCTACACAGTTGGACTATTCAAACCTTATTGAGCAGTCTTTTGAACATTAACAATATGGGTACGAGACACATTAATTAAAAAGAAATAATATCACGAAGTTCCTCTAAGTATTGAAAAATGATACATATCAAAAACCATGATATATATATATATATATATATATATATATATATATATATCATTCTACTCAATCATCACGCAAAATAAGATGATGTACTCCTATTTGGTAAAAATAACTTCAAGTGATGTTCGTCAAAATTGTCTGGTTTCTCCATTTCTATATTGGTCATAGACATTCACTTAGAAACAAAGCCCTCATCGTCTGAGTTTTTCAGAACTGATCTCCTACAAGTAGATCTACTTGTCGACTTATAATACATAGATGATATAGTTCTGTTTCGTAAAATTGCAGTCTTCTGATAATCTTAAGCAATAATTTAGCCATGTTTAGAATGGATTTTCCTCCTGCATTTACGTGTGAAATGTTGCTTTAGGCCTGTCCACATAAATGCCTGAACCAATTGAGAGTAGTATAGTTGAGTCCAATGACTATTTCATTAATACCGAGTTTAATTAGCCCTGGTGGGTTGATTTTCACCAAAATCTCGGTTGGCATCTACCAACTCATTTCATTTGTGGCGTAGGTGAGATGTTTATCTGCCAACCAAAGGACGAGTATACTGCTAAGCGGTCCGCTTTGTATTACTTTATGATTCTGAGACATGGTCTAGAGAAGTAGGAGAAATGACAGAGGTTTTTGATTATAAGCACTTTAGAAGCAATAATCGTCTACCAAAGTATCCAATGCTGAGGTTGGATACAGGATATTAAGCAGACAGCAAATGGATTGAAGTTATGAATCATCAATGGTAGTTAACACACATGTTTTTCGTATGCCCGACGACCGCCTACATCACCCCCGAATGCCCTGGTACGGCCGAGAGTGGGAAGAGTCAACTCTCCCTCTGGAAATGCTCTCAGATGGCTACATGCATAAAACCACTGCCACGGAAGCCCTAGTCACTGCCTTCTAGCGACATTACTGTTGTTTACGAAATCCAGAGGACAAAAAGAGAATGTCTGGTGCTTTAACCGGGTTTATGGATAAGGAGGACCCACTCAAGGGAGTTGGAAAACCCCGATTTTAAACCAGTGGTGCACATGGGCTCCAGGATCCTGAAGAAACAAATGGCATATGAACCAATCGTTAGTCACCGGCTGCCATAGGACTGCATATCCTTACGTCGCTCTACTGCCATGTGGATTAGACCTTCAGGTCAAAGGCTCGGAGTGTAACCCCTAAGAAAACCACCTGCTTCTGTTTGGGCACCCGGGTAGTATCTTAGCACATATCTATCTGGTGCCTTCAACGTTATGTGGAATAAGAGTAGACCGGAAGAGACGACTAAGCAAAAACTTTGGATTACATAATAAAGTTATTGACCACAGAACTAACCCGTTTTGATGTACGGCGACTTTCTCGTCGGGGTTAGCGAGATCGCCGCGACTAATAGATAGAGATCAAGTGACGTGGTACAGTTGTACAGATGAATTCTAGTTTTGTCTAGATCTTGAGTTCCTTATTCCTCCATAAACTTCTTTCAATATCTCCTTTTTAAAGCATATACTCCTAAAGTTTAGTCTATCGCATTATCATTGGTACTACAATTACTTCTACTCACCAACGATTCATTTTGTCAGTTTCATCCCGTTAGACTGACCTGCTATGACAACCTAGGCTAGCGCACATTTGTGCAAGGTTTTATGTTGATTATGACTGAAAGTATTTTTAAGCGTTCACTGTGTAAACTTGAAAAGTAAATGTATAATATTACTTGATTAGGAACTGTTAGCAATTAGGAATCATGATAACTGAATATTATCCTACTAAGAACAGGAAAGTGAAGAAAAAGTAAATAAATTCTACCAAACTAACCATGGTAATGAAATATTTTCTACCGTTAAGAATAATAGATGAATATGATTCTTGACAGTCTTCGTTTTCAACTCTTTGTATTTTACTAGGACAACTATTTCGTGCACTTGAACTTCCAGTATTCTGAAAGCACAAAACAAGAGTATGAACAAGATTAAACAACCTAGAACTGTTCGTGCTACTATGATACATAAAAGCCTGTTGACGAAAATGTGAAAAGTTATAAAAGAAATATAATTTTAAGATTGTTCACATGATGGATTAATACATCACTTAGAGAACTGCCACAAACTTCAGAGTATTAAGGGCAGCTATTTCTTTGTAGTCTAGAAATCACTAAAAGTACACACAACTGCAAACAAAATGTTCAACTGACCAATCGCATAGGATAATGAGAATTGATTGAACATGGACCGTCTAAAATTGAAGACCAACAGACTGACTCACCGAGATTTGAAGTTACTGGGTTTCATTTTGTGTGAAGTCATGTTTACACACAGCGGCTAAGAAATATTAAACTATAACAAAATAGTGAGTAACGAAAGGATTATTTTTAGTTGATCTCCAACTTTGACGAAAACTATGTTCAAAATAGAACTGCTCCCCACCCCAAAAAAACACTAGATTCAAAATAAAAATTTCCAGGTGATATATGAGTTTTATATTTTTCATAAACCATTCTTGAAAGTGTATTGCAAATAGAAATATAGCGTGATTTATCTTTATGTATTAGTGATTCATAGGGTTCAAAAGCCTTACACGTACTTCAATCCGAAAAACTGAACAAGAGGACTTCTAATTATCTTATACACAGTGAATGTGTTATATGAAACAGAAAAGTGATTGTGAACTGAAACGATGATCGCTTCGGTAATGAAAATGTTTAAAGGTCCTTGCTTGTTTCTGAGGCAAATATGAACACGTAAAGTGAACTCGATTAATAATCAAATGGGTTTTGTTTTTAAGAGAATACAAACTGACAAGCAGCAGAGCCACGAAAAAACTGAAGTATTCGGTATCTTACACGCTAATTGGTGATCGCTAATCTCCATGGTCATTTAATATAAACAAATGTATCTCCTGAGCAAACTAAACAATAGTTGAAAACTTTTTACATACGATTGTAAAGTTAGGTTACAATGCGGTAAACAGCATCTGTCTGTGAAGTAACTGAATTTTGGAATGAGCAGTGTGGGTAGATAAAAATTTCATCGTTGTTGTCAAACACAATTGCCGAGATCAGTGACTGGAAAGTTTGGGTGATATGGCTTAGAACCGGTCACAGGCATTGAGGTGCATTTACTTTATTGCGAGACACCAAATTATTTCATACTTTTTATTATTTCATCCTCTTTGAAACACATTTTATCAGTTCAGTGGTCCTCAGTATCACGGATACTGCTATTATTTCGATCCACTTGCTATTCACGTTGTTAACTTCATCCTACTCTGTTTATGTAGTATGGCAACATTGACTAATGAACGTTTGTGACAGGCTTTATTTTGATGATGACTGTGCGAATATAATAAATTATCATGCTTTTCAAAAGTATATTGCATTGTGAAAGGCTGTCGGTTGAAAACCAAGGAGTACTGAATAGCTATGTCGTTTTAGTTTATGACTCGTTAGTAGTACGTACTCAAAACCCCACTAGTGAGTCTGATTATGTAGAAGCTAATTTTCATTATAAACACCTCTTGTAAAACAATATATTTAAAATTTGATAAATTCAACAGTTTAAATCTATCAAATACAATATGACTCTGGTAAATAACTTACTATTCGAATATTCGAATGATCAGATAAACTAAGTGACAACCTTCTAGAACTTAGGCCCGTCGAACTTGATCCTAAAGTATTGGATGAAAGCTTGTGATCAGACTTTGCATCTCTTGTCGGACAAGAGCAACAACGAACACGTATTTTGTCAAGGCCAAAGATTGTGAAATTCTCTTGATTCACTGATTCACTGGAGCAACCAAAATGTTTATCATGAATTAAAAATACTTCCAATATAACTTGAAGATATTAAGCTCTAAGTGAACTAAATACAACATTCTATGAGAGCGTTGTGGAATAAAAGATAGCTGTATAGGACTAGCATCGGTCGGTCTATCATGACTCCTTAATTTGAGCCCCACATAATATGTAGCTCGGCGGGTCCAGATGCCATCATTTATGATTTAAAATTGATTCCAGTAGCGATCCTTTCGACATTTTCTATTACACTCTTCGTAAAAGTGAAACGAGTTCCTCCAACTGAGTCTTTTTTTGATTATACTCTTAAATGAACTCTGTCTTGTAATAAATACCATTTTCGTCGATTTATTTATTGGTTGTACTAGCTATTTCTTCTTTTATTTGTTTATAAACTATCGCTTTATTTCTTGAGTCCATTTTCGATGCTCTGTTTTAACTAGATTTACATGCTCAAATAAATAAATAGTTGAAATCATAAATCAATTGAAGTTAGATCACCATGGAAAACCTGGAAGCACTGGACGGCCGTTTCGTCCTAGTATGAGATTCCTCAGCAGCGCGCATACACGATTCCGCCTCCCGCGAGATTCGAACACAGAACCTATCAGTCTCGTGACCAGTGGAGTTCAACCACGTCTGTTGTGAGATATTAGCCCACTGAAGACAATGGTGACGATGGCGCAATTTCGTGGATTGGTTGAAGTTAGACATCAACACCGTTGGATGCCGGCTCAGTGGTCTAATGGTCAAGCGCTCGAGTGCGAGACTTACAGGTTCCGGGTTCGAATCTCGCGGGAAGCGGGATCGTGTATACACACTGCTGAGGAGTCCCACATTAGGACGAAACGGCCGTTCAGTGCTTCCAGGTTTTCTATGGTGATCTACCTTCAATTGACTATTGAAATTACTAAAATCTTCACAAAACCCTTTCTGAAAATAAATAAATAAATACTAAATTGAGATACAAATGTCAAGAAAGACTATCAGGATGATTTGATCTGACCATTAATGAGAACATCTGGTATAGTAGTGTTTCAAACTATAACCACTGAGTGTTTCAATAATATCGATACTCATTGTATGCAGATATTTTGACAATAGTCGACACCGCAGTTTCGCAAATAAGATTGAGATTTTGTTTATCGAAAGCCACAGAAATGGTCGTTTTGTAGAATCATAAGGCTCTAAATAGTGGGTATGTGTTTTGTGAATGTAGCAGCCTATGAGCAAGTAAATCACGTTCGATAGTATGTTACTGATCAGCCACACCACTGGTCTATCGAACAACATTAAGATCTCGAAAGTAGCGCAAAACGTTTTTGCCGATTCACTCAAGTTATTCTCCAGAAAAGTCAATGGTTTATATATCACCAAACATAATTTGAAAGTTACAAATGATATTTTAATGAACAAAAAGTTACTAGAGAAAATGTCTTGCAACTCAAAGTAATGAGGAATACCCAGATCCTTAATATTCTTACGTTGGAAACTCATTTTAAGGACATATGTTCAGGAAATTGTCCGAGATCCTAGATATTAGTTGATCTATACATGTTAGATTCGATTATTTCAGTACGCCTTATTTTGAAGATAAGCGCTAAACAGATTCAACAATTTCGTTGGTTTCCAATTAACAGACCGTTTGCATATACCAGGAAACTTCAATATGCATATTTAGAATGACTCACTAGTAAAGCATTAATGTCATCCTAACAGACAATAAGTTGAACTGCCAATAACTGTTAATAAATACATAATAGTTAATATGTATAATATGGACGTCTAAAATAGATTGACTATTTGAGACACCAAAACTATCTTTGTGATTTGACCCATGAGAATAGCGGACTACATATTTCATAGAAGGCTGAAAAAACAAGGATGAAATTTTAGCGTGTAGAAAAGCGGATTGCAACTTATTAAAACCAAAACCGCAGTTTATTGAATAAAATGACTCACTCGTTCTTTGCTTCGAGAGTAATAACTAACTCAATTTCACCTCGAGCTGTTAAACCAAAACAACTGTTGTAGCAGCTAAGTCTACAATACAAAACCCCTCTCACTTCGGGTAGTAATGAGATATCCGAATCGGCGGTGTTGGGTGGAGCTTCTGACTTGGAGTGAAGGAGATGGAGCACATCAATAGGTGTACGAACGGTAATTTGGTCACGAGGGCAATTCGACAGGGTGCTGCCCAACACATACTTCGAACTTTCTCCAAGAATTTCAACAAATGATTTACCCTTTGATAAGTAGCTACCAGGTGTTTGAATCTCGTGCTTTTTGCACCTATAGTATAGAATCAGAAAGAAAAATCCCAAACCTTTGAACGACTTCACCACATTTCTCTGCATACGAAAATAATGGTGTAATTCGAATCCAAAAATCCATAGGAGTTACTGGTGGTCGAAAAGAAAACCTAATCGGCCACACACGCATAGTAGTGACATAAACTTTCTGTATTGAATTTGTTGTGATAACCTAAAGGAAATATTTACCAAACCTCACTTACTTGATATGGGTAATGGCGAGATCTGTTTGGTGATTCATCAGACACCCAAACCTTATAACAGTAAATACCAGCAAATGGTGCTCTGTTGATGTAAATGAATGAGTGGATACTTACAGACTACTATGAAATTTGTTTAGAAATTGCACGATTGGAGCTTTGGACATGATCTAAGAAAGTGAGGAGCATTAGAACATCTACAACTCATCATACTGAACTGCTATGAATGGCTTGTTCGACGTCCAGTGACAGCTCACCGTTATTTTCTTTATCATCATCTACTAATTTGAATTTCGAATTCATTGAGTTTGAATACTCTACAGATGTTAAAAAATGAAGTTTACTAAATATGTGAAGTAATAAATGAACAAAAACATAGCGTCATGAATTATAGCATTTTACAATAATAAGCAGATTTATCAGTAAAGATTGTGTATAAAAGGTAAGAATATATGTTCAAAATATTATAAAGTCCAGCTCCAAACGTTTGGTACGAAATATGAAGCGATTATTCTTATTAATGGCTTTATTCAATATTATATTATTGGTAAAATATAAGATCCTCAACACAAAGTGTTTCGATAAATTCCTCTAATAAAAAAGTGAGGGAAACTGATAACTGCATACATATATACATAAGTTAAGAAGTCAAACTACCTGGAATTGAACGAACAGTTATTTTCAAGAACATTTGTGCCTTCACGACATTTTATTTGGAAAAATATGTCTAAGAACAAGTTATTGATTAGATAAACTCTATTTAGACTTCCAAATGCAACTCCTTAGTGAAACCCTGATTAAACCACTGATAAACATAATCAGTATATTTCCAGAACTCTACATGTTAATTATGCATATGCTAAATAGATGCGATACGATACTAAATCGGCGTTTTGATATGCCAAACTCTAGACAGCTGAATATAAAGCGACTTATGATGTTAAAATGTTAATATTCACCGAGCTTTGAGAATACATGAAATATAAGGAATTCGTCATCAGGTAAATACAGTTTGCGTAAAGTCAAATTGTTACTGGCCAATACATCGTCATACAACGTAAGTAACTCTAGTACGTGATTCGTCAATTTTATGCACCCACTCGAAGACAGACCTTGAGATAGTAACGCAGTAGCATAATAAAACAAAAACATATGACTATGAAAAACATAATTTTGTTGATTTTAATGCTGTTAAACCGCGTCACAGAAAAAAGTTAATTCAGCTTCGAAGGCAAACATCTTAAATTGGTGTCTTGAAAACGAATAAGGAATGAATTCACATATGTCACAAGCATTCGTAGTTTGACAACAGCTTAAACAGTAACACGTTTTGATCGAAATATGCCAACTCGAGCAAATTAAAAACCAAAAGTGAGGGAGTTTGTAGATATATTTAGAAGGCCATCGTTTTGTCGAGGAATATTTTATCTAAGCTGGCCCATAATTGAAATGGATGTGTAGCACGGTTTACCCTGTAGTGGCATTGGGCCCTAACACGAGAAAAACTGGAAAATAGACATTCAACATTTAACGCTGGGAAATACCCAACAATGGAGAAGGCGGGAATAATAATTTGAATAAATTCGAGTTAATCTGATGGTGTGGTGCGCGCTACTTATATTGAGATTATAAGTAGTATATAACGCGAGTTTCAAACGTAATGGCTGGCTGCAGAAGATGGGGAAAAATCAAGAGAGGAAGAGCGGCAACGCAATGGAATTTGTATGAAAAATCATGAACAATGAAATGTCAGTCAATGGATTGATATTTGAAACAGGAACAGTTCAGTTTAATATGAAGGATTAATATTTTGCAAATTAACGATTTAATATATGGTTTTTCTATTTTACCAATTAACTCTGTAATTTGAGCTAAATACAATTCGGTTGTCCTCATCAGTGTTCTGCCTCACTACAATGGCATGGCTCGACCATGCAAGCGTGGTCCCTCCTGTATCTTACCTCATATCTTTTATTCACACTAAATATATTCTATCTCTAGCCTAAGCTTGTTCTCCATCAGGTGTTGGTAATTGTTAAGATGCAGTGAGTTGGTGTAGAAGATGATGTGATTTGCACGTGAGATCTTATAGATTAGGCAGTTACATCATAACAAATCTACAATTTTAGGATTAGGTCTATTATTAGAGCAGTGCTAATATCATTGTAGACTATGATTCGAAAACCCACTCATGATCTGCTGCGGATGCCCGACCGAACGTCTTCAGCTAGATGAGTTCATTAAGACTAATGTTGCCAGCATCAAATGTCCAAAACGTACAGAACTACTGATTTCAGAGCTTATTGAATTTACAAACATGTTTATATATAGTGGTTATACCATGTACTGAGTTCTGGAGTTCTACTAGATGATGACTATGGAAAAACAGACTTGTGAAATTGTAGAATGTCTCTCTAAATGTTTTTTTGCCATAGGATAAAAATGAAAGATTTTATTCATGAAATCAGTATTTCTTAATTGAAACCTATGATTAAGTTGCCTCTGCTCCTTGCATGCTAAACGAACAATATATTTAGTTTGACCCGTCTCTCGTAATAAATCAGATTTGTGCTTCCGCAAGTAAAGTTATTCAGGATTTTTTGAATATTATTTAACAACTCAATCCTTTTTAGTCTGGGCCTGACCGAATGTGAACAATATTAAAGCCTAGGTTTGACGAAAAGTACACGTACGTGAGTAAGAGCCTGTAGCGATAAATAAATCTCCGAAATAAATAGCTCTGTAAGTTTTCGACATTGGGTGCTGACAACATTAGTTTTAATAGACTCGTCTAGCTGAAGGCGCTCATTCATGTACCAGACCACGTGTAAGAACGCCGGGCTCAACATTTACTGCAATCGCTAGCCAGATTAGATCAGACGATCCTCGATATATTGATAGCCTATCAAATATATCTTCGAATATCCTCGCTTCTGTGTTTTGATTTTACTCGGTGGGTACGATTCATATTAAGTGTTACTGGTAAAAGCGTTGTCAAACTCCGAATACCTGTGGCATCTTCAAGCCTTATTATCTGACGAGGGGTTTCTCAACCGTTTTGTGGAATTCACCTGTCAGTATGTAGTAGTTTTTAATCTCTGGCCGACAAAAGCCTCTATAACAACATGTATTTATAACGAGTATCTCGGTATTGTTCATCGTATTTGTGTCTGCACCTGGGTGACCAATGAGGATTGCAATGAACTTGCATACGTTTATTGCTATTTCCGAAGATAACATTATGGATAACTTTCGAAAACTATTTGTAGACTGCTTTTAAACATATTATTATTATATAAGATTTACTTTCCTTAATTTAACCCTAAATTACTGGTTACAGTTTCTCACACGCACGGTCACTTGTTAGCTTGATATTGTATAAATTTCATTTTTTATTTTATGGCCTGGTACGGCCGAGAGTGGGAAGAGTCAACTCTCCCTCTGGAAATGCTCTCAGATGGCTACATGCATAAAACCACTGCCACGGAAGCCCTAGTCACTGCCTTCTAGCGACATTACTGTTGTTTACGAAATCCAGAGGACAAAAAGAGAATGTCTGGTGCTTTAACCGGGTTTATGGATAATGAGGACCCACTCAAGGGAGTTGGAAAACCCTGATTTTAAACCAGTGGTGCACATGGGCTCCAGGATCCTGAAGAAACAAATGGCATATGAACCAATCGTTAGTCACCGGCTGCCATAGGACTGCATATCCTTACGTCGCTCTACTGCCATGTGGATTAGACCTTCAGGTCAAAGGCTCGGAGTGTAACCCCTAAGAAAACCACCTGCTTCTGTTTGGGCACCCGGGTAGTATCTTAGCACATATCTATCTGGTGCCTTCAACGTTATGTGGAATAAGAGTAGACCGGAAGAGACGACTAAGCAAAAACTTTGGATTACATAATAAAGTTATTGACCACAGAACTAACCCGTTTTGATGTACGGCGACTTTCTCGTCGGGGTTAGCGAGATCGCCGCGACTAATAGATAGAGATCAAGTGACGTGGTACAGTTGTACAGATGAATTCTAGTTTTGTCTAGATCTTGAGTTCCTTATTCCTCCATAAACTTCTTTCAATATCTCCTTTTTAAAGCATATACTCCTAAAGTTTAGTCTATCGCATTATCATTGGTACTACAATTACTTCTACTCACCAACGATTCATTTTGTCAGTTTCATCCCGTTAGACTGACCTGCTATGACAACCTAGGCTAGCGCACATTTGTGCAAGGTTTTATGTTGATTATGACTGAAAGTATTTTTAAGCGTTCACTGTGTAAACTTGAAAAGTAAATGTATAATATTACTTGATTAGGAACTGTTAGCAATTAGGAATCATGATAACTGAATATTATCCTACTAAGAACAGGAAAGTGAAGAAAAAGTAAATAAATTCTACCAAACTAACCACGGTAATGAAATATTTTCTGAAGTTTGGTTTGGTTGTACATAAATTACGTGTCTCTGAATTGCGTTATTCATTGAGTGGATGCCAAGATTGTGTCTTCGACTCAGCGCGCTACTTTGCGTTAGAGAGACTTTTGACTGTATAGCACAGGCTGTACCCTTTGAGATATTTTTTATTTTTGAGATATTCTGTTCTATTTCTCAAATTGGAACCGTTTAAATTGAGCACAGAGTTTGTGTTTTGATATAATTTAATACGAGTTTCTTAAAAACGCTTCGTGTGCTATACGGAAGATCGTATTCTAGCCTATCCGAATACATTTTTGTTCGTTAGTTCTGCGTTCAAACCGAATACTGGCAGTTCAGTCTTTACGAGGACTCAGCCTTGACTTCAGCCAGCTCGTATTTGACAATAAGTCATTGATTTGGCACTGTATCAGAGTCATGTACGCCGATGTTCTGAGCGGCGGTTTGGTCACATGATAATCGACAGGGAATAGCATAACATTTATAGACGACTGCCGGATGACAGACCATCAGAGAAATTTCTTCTTATTACTCTGGAGGCCTGAAATCTCGCCCTTAGTCCTTATCGCTCTCTGTATCTCAATATCGTTAGCATAAGCCCAAGCTAATGATGACAGGGAACCAGAAAGTTCGTTTGCATACAACAGGAATAGCACTTGTTCCAAGTGTTTGAAAATTAAATCTACCGTGTTGTCAGACAGCAAGCTGTTTGATTGTATGTGGCTAAGAAACATAAACAAGAATGGAGATTACATTGACTGAGTAACGAATATGTAGTAGTAAACAAGTCCCCGAAATAATTGGCCACGTAAGTCCTCGTTATTGATGATGATTTTAACAGTCATCCTGTATACAACTCTAGTCGAAGGTGTTTGGTCAAACATTAGCATCTGATCACAATTACGTACTTTGCTCCTCATATATCTCATGATAACTAGATGGCTTATATCCCATGAAATATGCCGCATTGACTTTTAATTCAATTTATGCTTACATCTCGTCAATTTCGGCTACCGCTTTATTGGCTTTGGGATCAGTACGTAAGAAAAGGTTTCTAACAATAAGCTCATCAAATTCTGACAGTCCTTGATATTTTTAGGTTGTCTTATAAAGCAATGTACGGAAGTAGAGGCAAAACAAATCGGTCAACAAAATATTCAAGATAATGTGCATAGAAAACATTGAAATGTATAGTGAAATATTTTTGAACATACTTATTCTATCATTCCGAAAAAGTGCCTAGGAATGGACTTGCTCATGATGGTCGAGATTTGTTTTGAAGTTGTCTAGTTGTACTGCCGCTTGTACAAGTAGTAAACATAGATTCATCTAAATTAATGGAACGAGACTGCAGACTTTATTCTTCACTACGCAATACCACTCATATTCACTTGGTTGCCATACCCTGGACGCTTGGACAAAATACCGATGACCACGCAGCTATTATCATTATTCAAAAATAACTCATAGATGCACAGGTTTTGTGAATAAGCTGTTGCGAGTTTCTTCAGAAACGCAACTGTGTAAAACTTTCGATAGTTTTCACATAACGTTCGCCATATTTAGTAGTGTCCTGTAGTATTTAGAAGATTATTAAGTTGAGCTCGAAGAAAAAGGGAAAAAGAAGGATTAATTTTAAAAATAATCTGACAAGTGTTTCTCTGCAGCAATAGGAA